TTTAACTAACGAACTTACCTCAAACAATCTGGAATCCTCAAAGTTATTTCCTCCTGTCATAAGATGTCTGCTATGTTGTCCGTTTTGTTGTTGCGGTTGATAATTTTTGCCTGGTGTCAACGGAATTCTACTTGCCGTATTTGCCAGAGTGGACGAATCGCTCCAGTTTGAGAACGTGTTATCATTAGCGATCGAATCCTTCATGTGCATCTGGGTCATCGCATTGCTAGCCGAACCCCACCAGGCAATCGGTGGTTGAGGTGGTCGACTGTCCTTCCACAAGTTAAAGTGCTCAGTCGGCTCGTAATTGGAGAACATGTAACTGTTTGCCACAGATTGCTGTTGCTGTGGCTGATTCTTAGTTACATTGACTTGATTTGGAAATGGGAAATCTATTGGGTCTGAATTCTTCTTGTAAAAAGATGGTGATGGTTGACTTTGTGACAACGTTTGTCCAAAGGATTGATTCTGATTGAAATGAGTGAAGTTCAGCTGAAAATTTGACGTGTTGGTCGGGCTCTGCGAATTCGCCAAGGTCGTCAAAGTTTGCTGCTGAGGATCTTTTTCATATACTGACAATGCCGACATCATCGCCGACATATTTGCCATATTCGAACCGTTGATATTTAACTGACTGTGCATGTCGTTTAGTCTGGGATTGCTCGGCATCATGGTCTGCTGTTTTTGTAGCCCCATCGAGTGGTTTGGTTGTTCCATGCTTATACTTGATTGCAGTCCCATATTATTGGTTTGCAAATTCATGCTTTGCGGTACCATATTTTGTTGAGCAGATGATCCCAGCTGTATATTTTGCTGCAATAACTGCGCTGGACTATGAGATACGGTCTGTGGTACCCTCTGATGCAATGGTCTGCTTTGACTGATTGTATGATGTATTCCATTGATGCCCTGTGGCATCGTTGGAACCGGCTGACTGTTATTGATTTGCCCTTGCATTTGATAACGTGGCGTGTTTGCCAGCGGCGATCGATTTGCCATGAAGTTCTTGGCGAATTGCGGATTCTGCACGTTGAACGATTGATTCGAGAAGCAAACCGATCCCAATGTCGACGGTTGTTGACCGCACTGCGACGTCATGCTAGTGTGCATTTGCGGAAGAATTTGTTGAGCAACTTGCTGAGTTTGTTGCTCTTTGACTGTCAATTGATTTATTTGATTGAGCATGGGAATGCTAGGTGGCAATTTCGTGGATCTCTGCTGATTCTGAATCGACAAGGACTGGTTTGGACTAGTAGATGGAGCGAGTGGTATCGCTGATAGTCGACTCTGAACATTAACAAGGATGTTATTTGTATTGGCAGGTTCATTAACTTTGGGTATCTCTGGAATTGCTGTCGATTTGTTTGCAACAGAAGTAATCGATGGAACGGTCACTACTTTTGACTTTTTATCACTTTCTTCTTCGACAATCACAGGTGAAACATTCTTGAATGTCACCTGTTTCTGCTCATTCTCTGCACGACGCATAATTGCCTGCATTGCTATATTCTGTCGTGGTTTTCTCGCACATGGAAGAGAATTTACCTCGCTGTTACTTGTCGTCTCTGCGGTATTCACTGAGGAATCTCGGTTTCTTTCTAAGGAGCCTTGCGGTTTAAGAATACCCTGGAAAATTTTCTTATCTGCGAGAATCTCAAGATCGGTTTCTACAGAACTCTTGCTACTAGCTGCTTCGGATAGTACTGGGCTCATCGAAGTATCGAGCTGTTTATCCTTGTTTAAGCTAAGTTCCTCGAGTTCCTTCATCAATTCGTTGCTGGGTCCAGCGCCGTTGCTCATAGACGTGAATTTGTGATCACCGGTTTTTTCCTCCGTCATAATTGAGATTGGTGTTGATCCATTGATTTGATACTGAGCGAAGCAATGACCCAGATGCAAAATGCGTACCGCCCGTAACTTGTTTAATGTCGCGATATCACCTTCCAGCGCTGTATTCGTGAATCTGAGATTCTCGAAACTCTTCTCTAACGGTAGAAAACCCTGAAGGTCACGATCTTCTGGCAGTGGCACTGCAACATCTGTTCCATGTAACTTTATAGTATCGTCATGTATAATTATGACATATTTTGATGTATATCCTATATATCCATAAACATATGCACATTCTTTAGAGTGCAAATTATGTGTATATGTGAATACAAATTATTATATACAATAATTCATTTTAAAATGTTTGTATATTGTGAAATATAATATATTTCACAATATACACTTTCTTCTTAAATTCATTTATTAGATATGTATATAAATTATCTATTAGATGTTGGAATTAATTCGTAGCGTTTTTAATGAAAGAATGTTATTTATTTCACATGAGCATTAAAAAATACATTAATGAAAGTACTTCCCATCACTTGTAAAACGCTACGAATTAATTCCAACACCTAATATATAATAAATGAAATCAGTCACTTACATTCATCATATTTAAAATCCACTACACAATTCTGCAAGGCATTCAAAAGCACACAAAGACTGGGCCATATCTGTAATCTTGATGTAAAAGCAACTTCTTCCAAAACCGTTGGTTTTATGTTGATCCAATCAAGGCACAGTTTTACTGTAAGAAAAGATAATGTTATCTGTTACATAATCCGTTTTACTAATCTCATTAAAAAAATATAAATTGCAATATATGCAGTACTTACTAGAAGGCAAGGCAAAATACTCGATGATAGAGTTCTTCATTGTGTAAACGGGTAACAGCAAGGCAGACAGAGTACCTGCAATTAGGTCCAGTATACAGTCGCGAGCGAGCTTTTTATTATTCACCATTTGCTCGTTCTTGAGTAATTCCATATTATCGGTGCCAATCCCGGCTGTATGTTGCAAAGCGTATAGATTAATCACCAACATCTGTACGAGCATCCACGAACTGAAGCTCTCAGTGGCTACCAACGCAGTCAGCGTTTCCGTCAATTGCTTGCTATACGAGCATGCTAGCTTCAAATCACCAAGAATATGGATGATTCCATGTAGCTTCAGAAAAAGAGTGATGTACTCTTGAGAATTCAATTTAGTCTTGCCGTCGATATTGAATGATTTGTCATTCAAAGCAGAGGATAGAGTTGTAGCAAGATTTGCTGTAGCGACAGGGAAAGGATGTTTCACAGCTACTGAACGTGCATAGTGAAACACCGTGCCCAATTTATTGCCACGAGAAGCTTCTAGAAGCGCCAATTGATTATATGGCTGTCCGCTTGATGGTGACAGTGAGACAGCATGTCTGTAAAACATCTCAGCTTGTTTGCTCTCATTTCTGTACCGTGCGATATCACCCAGATGTACAAGGCAATATTGGCATGCATAAAAGCAAGAAGATTTGTGAGGTGGAGATAATTTCTCAACCGCCTTCCATGGAGATGTACATCCATATACATAACCTTTCCTGCAAAAAAATGATTGTGTCCTTTTGATAATATATATATATTTATTAAAAATAACATCCAAACTATTTGTTTAAAAGAATCACTAGTCATCTCTTATATAGGATATTAAAAATATTAGAAACGAAATGAAATATTCTATTTTCACAAATACCATATAATCTGCATATCTCAAAATAATAGCAAATAAATAAATCATAATATTGTATAATCTCTTGAAATATGTAATAATTTCCAAATAATAGCAATAATAGTAAATTTAAAACCTAATCTACAATATGCTTTGCTTCCTGTTTCTTCGTTTTTATCTCTTACTTTTTCCCCCTTTTGCGACTGTTTTTTTAAAATCCTGTTTGTAGTCTTTTCCAAAATTCATCTACTTTTATCTCAGGCGACAAAAAAAGAAGAAACAAGAGGCAAAAAAGTAAGTAAATAAAAAGTACTAAGCAAGAAACAGAAAACAGAGCACATTATAGTTTAGAAGGTGGTACAGATTCTATGCAAGAGTAATCGACTTGTAATTGGAGGATTCTAAATTCAATCTTGATCCTTATCTCATGTACAATTTGATTTTATACAAAGTAAGATTTCAAGCAAAAGATATGATAAAAATGACAATCCGGAATTCCAATACGTAAAAGTTTAAAAAAACACGTTTAATACTTCAAAATAAAATAAGGAAAAATTGTGCAAAAGATATGTACCTTCTAAACGGTAGATCTAAATCAAACACAGTACAGATTTCTTGTAGCAAGGTCAAGTAGAAACCGCTGGCTGCTTCTAAGCACCAACTGAGCAGTGCCTGGGACTCGCCTCGCTTGGGATTCTTCCTGTCCTTGGCCTGTGACTGCAGAGTCACTATATAATTCTTAAATCCAAGACTCCACAGTTCTTGCTCGACCTTCTTGTCCAAGGCATACTCCAGATCCAGTATGAGAACCTGCTGATATATCTTTTGTAACTGTTGCTGGCATACCCAGGCATCGTTGTCGTTAAGCAGATCCTTGCAACGTTGAACCTTGTCCTTTAACGGTTCCGCTTTCCTGTCAAATGTATTTCGCATGTTACGGAACGTAGATCCGAGAGACAAATTTATGTATTCGTAATCGATAATGCGTTTACGATTGATGACATTTGTGATTGAGCGAATCTTACTTCAGAGCCTGAACGGCTGCCTTTAGGCCCATATTCCGTCTTCCCTGCGGTCAAATGCGACGTTCTTCACCTGCACAATTTGTCACGCCGCTAATGTCATCCTAATCGAAAGAAAGGAGAGAATCTCAGCTTCGCGAGGGCTTTAATTTTGCAAGAAATTTCAAGATCAATTCCTATCTTAACCTCTCATGAGAGATTGTTTCGACTTTCAATCGCGGCCGCTATCGGCAAATTACGTTTTGGACGAGGTACAAAAAGTATTCGTGAGCAAACGTACGTTTCGTCATCATCGATTTGGAAGGGAAAAAAAAATCGACTGTGCACAATACGGTTGCAGGAAATCGCGACGCAATTGCTCGCGCTCGGCAGAAAGTTGACTAAGTGGCTGCCATTTTTTTTCACAGCACACCAAAAGCACAAATAAGCGCAGCCCGTTACGAAGTGCGCGACGTAACTCTAACCTAACCTAACGATTTAAATCGGTCTTTATCGAACACGTTTTCTTTCCTGAGAGTGAAAAAGTAAAAAATCAATTAAAAAAGTAAAAAAAACCACGATGAGATCGCGATTTATGCGAAAGTCGTTGTTGTTCGACACAACGGAAATAAAATTACAGATGAAAACGTATAGGTTAGGACAATCAAAGGATGATCAGATGATGTAAGAGCGTATGTGCATGACTTTTCTTTACGTTGTGTAAGCGCAAGTGTACTAGCGAAGACGAACTGGAAATAATTTGGCGGCAGAGTTGAAAAAATATTGACGGAATGACAGGGCGAACGTTTTGTCGATCATGCAATTTTTGTTTTTGATTATAGGAACATTAGACGAAAGCTCATGTCACGTTCAAGAGTTATCTTTTTCGGAACAATTTCGAATTGCTTTTATGTCATGTAAAAAAATGGACAGATAACGAATTTTCGAAATGTTTTTCATTAACACGTTTCTGCATACCGATATTTTCTTGAATGTATATATATTCACTTCACGATAAAATGTACTGCGCGTTTTGAATGCCGCCGAGGTTAGGTACATGTCGATGAAAATGTCGAACGTTATCGTGAGGTCACGCTTCAGCGGATATTTAAAATCCTTTCGGTATCTGTGGCAACGGCAAGTAAGTACGCATTTATTCTTCTGCAATTCTGTGTACAAAGTGTCTTGAAACTACACATAAAGTCTCATACTTAACCTTTTCTCAGACAGAGATGTTTGATTTTTTATTTATTCGTACATCGATGATGACATTAGGAATTAACATTTAAAAAGGTGCTTCGTATAACAAATAAACTTCTAAATTGATTTATTAATTCTTGCTCTGCAATTTGAATCTTTTTTGTCACAACCGAAATTTCACTCTCAAATTTTTTCATTTTTTAATTTCTTAAAAATAAAGATTTTAACATTTCAGTTGAAAAATTGTATAGTAGAGATGTTAAAGAGCAACCCTGAATTTTTTTCACATTTTTTTAAAAGCCTAGAACAGGCTTTTAAAAAAACTTCGACTGGAGAAGAAAGATCTAGATTGTAGATGGAAGGAATAAAAATATAATTGTAGGAGGATTAATTATAATTATATAATTATATATTAATTATAATTTAGTATAAAGTTTGATAATTATTTTATTAACAGCTTTGTCATTGTCAGTTATTTCTGTTTTTTGCTTATTCCAGAACTGCACAGTAATTGATTCAACCAAGATCAAGCAACAGAATTTAGAAGCTAGACAAAAAGAAATCATGGCACGTGGCCTTCCAAAACGGAAACGCATAAAGGAAGTGAAACAAATTTTGCTTATTGCCTCTGGTAAAGGTGGCGTTGGAAAATCGACAACAGCTGTGAATTTGGCAACAGCTCTAAAAATTATTGAACCAAAGAAGTCCATCGGGTTGCTGGATGCTGACGTTTTCGGACCTTCTATACCTCTAATGATGAACATACATGAATCACCTGTTTTAAATCAAGAGAATTTCATGGAACCTCTTGTAAATTATGGTGTGAAATGGTGATTAACTATCAGATGCTTCAGATAATCAAATAAATGAGGATCATATAAATGATCATACTTTATAATCTTATATTTCACATATAGTATGTCCATGGGATTTTTAATTGATGAGAAATCACCAGTTGTTTGGAGGGGACTCATGGTGATGAGCGCATTGGACAAGCTAGTAAATCAGGTAGCATGGGGGCCACTTGACTACCTTATTATTGATACTCCTCCTGGGACAGGAGACACACATCTTTCTTTGATTCAGACTCTTTTTATCACTGGTGCATTGCTGGTAACAACACCGCAAAAAGTTGCGCTAGAGGTGACCAGGAGAGGTGCGAATATGTTCAAGAAGTTGAACATTCCTGTCGCTGGTATTGTGGAAAATATGAGCAGCGTTACTTGTCCAAAATGCATGACGGAAGTACCTCTTTTTGGTAACGCAACGCTCTTGCTAACTAAAGAACTAGGTAATAAACTTATCAGTAATTACATTATTTATAATTAAAATAAGTTATATATGAACTATGAATATATAAGTTGTAACTGTACGAATATTTACATGAAAGGTATATTAAGTCTTTTTTCGTGGCTTGTAGGTGTAGGTATTTTACAGAAGATACCGATGCACGACAGCATCGCGGAAAGTTCAGATAGCGGTAAACCGATTGTCCTGGCAGCACCAAAAAGCAGACAAGCAGAAGCTTATAAAGAATTAGCAGAACATGTTGTTACATTTTTAAATAAGCAGGAAATGAATGAAGAATAATAAAATAGAATGATTAAAAAATATCTTTCTTATCCTTCTGCATATATTAATAAGGGAATATTACTATCCTAAAGTATTACATACTGACTTGTAATTGCGTTATGGTTTTTAATATGTACATATATCTTTAAAAAAGTAATTAATATTTACAATAAATATTTTATACAATATATAATATAGTAAGTTACAATCTTTTCATTATAATTACATTCAAATGAATTTATATGCGATTATTAATTTTTCTTTTTAGCTTTAAATTTGTTTTTTGCAGCTGAACATTTTTATATTTTAAAGTCTTGTGTCCGTGACGTTAGAAATTGATCCGAGATCTCGGATGGAGAAAAAAATTGATCAACTGCATTGATTGATCGAATTGTTCAAAAAAATACGATTTATTAATTTTTTATCTATTCGACGAGACCTCAGGCTGGTTTCTAGCATCGTGGACGGAAAATATTGACCAACCACATCTCGTTGCATTATGAGGCATGCGCAATTGCGTTCTCTGTATTCTAAATCGGACTTGAGCGTCCCATTGGTATCGGCGGTGTCGGCACTGGTCGGCACTCTCATGTTTTCCCAATTTTGGCGGGCCGGTCGCTCTGTTCCTGCTCGGTTTTCGCTCCTCAATTTTCTCTCATCTTAATAAACTTACGGCGGATAAATGATGGCAGACAAGGACGGAGGTAAGGGCACATTATATTTTCGATATTGGTTTCGGCGTGCTTCACTTTCTTACGAAAACAAACAATTCGGTCGGCAATCTCGGAAGGACGCTGCGACATACCGCTGCCGTCTTTCCATCAGGAGCACGGCACGGTCTTTTCTTTCCTCTTTTTCGTCGCGTGTTGGAAGCGTAAAGAAAAAATTCGAACGACAAACGAGCTTGATTGTGTTCTTGACACCAGAAGTCGCGAAAATCCCGCGTGTCTGGAACCGGTCGACAGTCCATCGAACACTGTGCGCGATACGTGCGATTATACTTTATATATATATATATATAAATATATATATATTGAATCTTAATTTCACGTCTTTAGGATATTATGCTAAAATAAATACAATTAGTAATAACGTAAGATTTAACACATCGGAGGGTATACAACAGTAATAAATTATGGTACAATTGGCGAGAGAATATGATTCTTGTAAAAAAATTTGCGGAATATATTTTCTTTGATTGGTTGCACAGTCCCTCAAACATGGTTTTAAATACGAGAGCAATGTCTTTGTCGAGATTTAAGTGTATTTCTTTAAAACATTTGCCTGCCCCGTGCAATTAGATATTGTTTATATGAGCAACCTTAAAGTTTGTTTATATGACTACTTATTTATTGTAAGAAACGTTATTATTGCCTCTAATAATTAGTTCTCACTGATCTTTAAAAATACGAAGCAGTCGTTTAGCTATACATAAATTTCCAAGTAATTAAGACCAAAATTTGGAATGGCCTGATGTAAGAAATCTTAAGCTTACACCATCTGCTATGATGGGTGAATCGTAATTAAAGGTATGTTGACTATGTTGAGTATGATTCAAGAAGCTGAATTGGAGAAAAACATCAAAAAAAGTGACAAACCGAATAAGAAAAATACACCAACTAAGATTATAAGGATTAATTCTATACAACCAAATGTACCAAATACTATCAAAAGAATTAAATACAATGGACTTGAATCTTCACAAGGTAATTATTATAAAACATCCTATATAATGGGAACAATATACAAATATATAAGTATAGGTTCTCTCTTATAATCTATTTAAAATCGTGTACTTCAAAAACTGTGCAACCAATCGAAAAGATCAGTTATCTTTTATTTATGAAAATGAGAAACTCGTTATTTTTACTAATATTGCATTTCTAATTCATCTAATAATTTTTTCATCTATTATGCCTCGCCAATTGTTTACCTACATTATATAATTTATCATGTCCAGTAATTACGTATTATATAATTTGTATTTTATATTTTATCAGTATTTTCTAAGATATAGAAATTTTATGTAAAAGGAGATTTAAGCGCCGCTGTTTGTTCAGAGGGGTTTGACGACGCTGTGGAGGAACGTATTATCAATGAGGAATATAAAATATGGAAGAAGAATACACCATTTTTATACGATCTTGTGATGACACATGCTTTGGAATGGCCTTCTTTAACGGCTCAATGGCTGCCTGATGTCACCAGACCTGAAGGAAAAGATTATTCAATCCACAGGTTAATTTTAGGCACTCATACTTCAGACGAACAAAATCATTTGCTGATCGCCAGCGTCCAGCTGCCGAATGAAGATGCTCAGTTTGATGCTTCTCATTACGATAATGAAAAGGGTGAATTTGGTGGGTTTGGTTCTGTGAGTGGCAAAATCGAGATCGAGATTAAGATTAATCATGAAGGTGAAGTTAATAGAGCGCGATTCATGCCGCAAAATCCGTGTGTAATCGCAACAAAAACTCCTTCGAGCGACGTGCTTGTATTCGATTATACTAAACATCCCAGTAAACCAGATCCCAATGGAGAATGTCATCCAGATTTGAGGTACTTAATGATTTATTAAGCAAATAGATCATGAACACATGGAGTATATCGTATTTATGTTAATATTGTATATTTATTGTGTATACTTATTGTATATATTTAAATATTACAATTACAGATTGCGAGGACATCAAAAGGAAGGCTACGGACTTTCATGGAATCCGAATCTCAATGGATATTTACTTAGTGCATCTGACGATCACACGATTTGTTTGTGGGACATCAATGCCACACCGAAGGAAAATCGTGTTATCGATGCGAAAACTATCTTTACAGGGCACACAGCCGTGGTTGAAGATGTTGCTTGGCATCTGCTACATGAATCATTATTTGGTTCGGTCGCTGACGATCAAAAGCTCATGATCTGGGACACTAGGTAATTGCCATCTTTAAATGGCTACATTTACATCGTGCGAAAATGTCTGCGACCTATACGATAGATGACTTTGTTTATAATAGGATAATGTTACAATGTTTATCCTACATATATTGTCATAGATGATTATATAGACAATGTTACAATAGGATAAACAAGGACACTTATATAGATCGCGGACTAAAGGCACAGTATAAACGTAGCCATTAATAATGATTAAGTGATCAATTGATTAAGTATTTTTTAGACTTCTAGGTAAATCTATTCTTTTCATTTTAAAAGTCACTTAAGAATATAGATAATACTTAAGTTAAAAATATTCAAAAATTTTTAATATATAATAAAAAATTGCAAGAAAATTTATATTCTTTGTTAATTTATAGAATCGGTATTCTCTTGATGCAATTGATATTAATGTCATTAAAATTATAGTTTAATGCAGCGTATTGGGAAACATATTGCGATATATATTATATCGTTAAATTTGTTATATTTGCAGATGCAACAATACTAGTAAACCAAGTCATACTGTTGATGCTCATACCGCTGAGGTAAACTGCTTAAGTTTCAATCCGTATTCTGAATTTATATTGGCTACTGGCAGTGCTGACAAGACTGTGGCACTTTGGGATTTGCGAAATCTTAAATTGAAGTTACATTCATTTGAATCACACAAGGACGAGATCTTCCAAGTCCAATGGTCACCACATAATGAAACTATATTAGCAAGCAGTGGCACAGATAGACGATTACATGTTTGGGATCTCAGCAAAATCGGCGAGGAGCAGTCCAGCGAAGATGCTGAAGATGGACCCCCAGAACTTCTGGTAATTACGTAACCTTATTTTACGAAATTAATAAATAGCCAAAAAAATTTTGTAGGTATATTATTTTTTTCTAATTTATAATATTCTGTTTTTCGATATCTTTAAAAATTTTTAAATTTTTAAGAGATTCTATGTAATATTTGAAATTAGCTTCTCTAATGATTTTCTAAATATGTTTACAGTTTATACATGGAGGTCATACTGCGAAAATAAGCGACTTTTCATGGAATCCGAATGAACCATGGGTCATATGCTCAGTATCGGAAGATAACATAATGCAAGTGTGGCAAATGGCGGAGAATATTTACAACGACGAGGAACCCGAGACACCTGGAAGTGAGATTGAAACTGGCTCATAACGTGAAATATAATTCATCAAATTGTTTTGAGCTATCGTCACCCCAAACTGAGGATAAGCGCACCTTCGTTGCGCCATGTTGTTGAACATCTTGATGTAACGAGCATAAAGACATTCCTTTTCACCAAGGAACAATAATTCTTGCTTTTTATAATTCGATCGTACAAAAGATGTAAATAACAAAAAAGAAAGATTTCTCATTGTTCAGTGAATGTATGGGAATAACGTATGCCATTTTATCGGATTTGACTAAACATATTTTTTCAAAATTTTGAAAGAAATTACGAATAACTTGAAATATTTTTGAAAAAATAAGAATATAAATAGCGAGTATTATTGTTTTCTGGTGACGAATTGGCTATGTTAACAAGAAATTAAATTAGCTAGCTAGCTAAATAGTTAACAATAATAAAATAATTGCTAGTTACACCCTTTATGAGCCATCCTCGTACGAAGGATCTTCTCGCACCATTTCTCTGTCAGTGAATAAGAGAACTCAAACGACATTAGGATGCCAAGTACTTTTTCTACTTCGTTTTAAGCGAATAAAGAAATGATGTAAACTCGAGTGATGTTTAGCTTAATTTACGCTTTTCCCAGTTTCATTTATTACCATTTTTGTGATTTTTTTCTTTCTAATTCACGTAATTTAAAATTAATATATGTCTAACTATAAATCTAAAATAAGTAACAGATTCTATAAAGAATAAAGGATTGTTACCATTTCTAGAATAACACAGAAAAAAATTATTTTAAACGACCTACAATTTTCTTTTTTATCTGTACCAGACAAATGTGAAGAAAGCACACAAATAATCTTTATATTATCATTGTACAAATCCTATAACATGCCCTTTATATTATAATATATGATAGAATTAGCGACGGGTTTTCTTGGCACTTTGCAAATATAATAGGAACGTGCATTTTTTTTCAAGATAAAATATACGTATATATATGTATATATTAGACTTTGTTCCCACATTATAAAGCTGTTTGTGAAAGCTCGTTGTATATCTGCGTGAGTAAGGATCCGTCGAAGCTTTTCAGCGATACACTGTCCTCGCTGTCGATACTCGTAATTCTGAAAAAAAAATAAAGTTCTCGCGTATGTTATCCCGTCAATTAAATTCATATTTATTAATCAGCGCAATTAATTGATCGTTCATTACCAAAATCTGCGCGTTAAATGGACATCGCTTATAGAGCGTGTCTTATGCCAGCTGCGCATGCGAAAGAAATTATTTGCAACACCAGTAATTATTTGTACTTTGAAATCGAATAAACAGTAATTTTCATACATTTAATAAATTATAATTATATTGAAGTCATAAAAAACTTACCCTTTTCCAGCGTCTTGCCGTTTAATACCGTCGAGCAGGCTCATTATGGAAGGTGTCAGGGTCGGACGAAATACCTGAAATAGTCACGTTAATTTTATTAAGATTGAGTTAATTTTAATTTATCTAGATGAAACTCCTCGGAAACTCACAGTTACAGCCGCGCATCGCATCTCACGGAGATCGATATTCCTAAAGAGGTCGTGGATCAACAATTCCTCTATACTAGTGAAACGATTTTCCGATTCCGTGAATATCAGCTCGAGGAATCTCACGATCTAAAATCGAAATACATAGCGTTCGGATTTTTATTTTATGAATGGATCACATTGGGTTATTGCAATCGATTTTTACCTGCGGATACATTTCAATGTCTGATAGCTGGACGGCAGATGGTCTAAAGGTACATAATTCGTAGCCGGCGCACATTTCGAATAGCATATGCCCTGATAATATAAAAATAAGTTTATCATAAAGTTACCTATTATTGTAAAATTAAATTTGAAAATAAAATACATTTTATTAAAGAAAAATGCAACATTAAACTTAATTTAAAAAAAAAATTATTGATAATTTAGTATTTTATTGAAATATATCGCTTAAAGAGAACTATGTAAAAATTATGTTAAAATATTCTGTTGCAAAATATGCAATTCACATTTTTCTACAAACTATAAACATCTAATTTAAAATCATATTTGATCTTATATATTCTGCTAGAAGATATAAAGAGCGATCATGAAAATTGTAAGTATCTCGTTGAAGCTGATAATAACGAAAGCTTGATTTAATCTGTTTGAAAAACCTTTGCATTGAAAAATATTGCTTTTTACCGAAACATATAATATCAATCGAAGTGGAATGTGTTAATCGGGATGTCACGATAGGATGTATGCGACTGGTAAAGCCTAGAAGAGTATTCTCCAGACCGGCCAATCTCGCAACGCCATTTTGAATCACCACATTGCCCGAGTGAAGATGAGTCACTATGGGAAATCCTCGTTCCTTCAGGAACACTAACGCTTCTAATATCTGTCGTCCCATTCGTTGCACTTGTGGTAGTTTGAGTCCCTTGCCTCGTGCGGCATACTTGTGAATCCAGTCCTCGTTCCAACAATTTCGCTCAATCTGCCACAGGATATTATTTCACTAGGACATCACCCCGTTTTCATATATACATACAAAACACCGAGAAAAATTCTTTGCGTTTCTAGCGATCGAAATAAACGGTCTTCAATTATCCTAAGATCTTATGTTATTTTAATTAATTAATGAAGTTTAATTTACTAAAGATGTTTGATGTTGATAATTAAAAAGATGAATAGAGTATTTAATAAAGCTTCACTAACAATAAAGCGAAAAAGTAAATAAAAATTAATTTGAATAAAATGTACGAAGATGAAGTTTACATAATATATGTGTATTTTTATTCATTTTCATCTGAAGAGTTGAATATATTTCTATGCATAAAGTACTTACGCCGTATATTAGATCCTTGAGGCTGCCCTGATTGATAGGTTGCACCAGGACGATATATGTTTGATCCTCATATTCAAGAAAATCAACATGAAAAACAGGACAGATGTAGGGATGTTGTAAGGCCAGGAATAAATTGTTCAAGATGTCTTTGGTAGAGGGACAGGCAGTCAGTGGACAGTTTCGATTTAATGGTACCAAAGTTAACAGTCTGTCCGTTTTCAGCGACGTGTCCCTCACCATGAACCAATACTTATCTACTCTCGATCCTGAAAGATATTTTAACGATGCCATTAATTTTCTTTTTTGTATAAATTTTCGAAAATGTGGTCAATAAATAACTGATATGAGTAAAAAAAATTAAGTCTCTGAATACATAAAATTAGATTATCGGTATAATTCCGCAACTCTTATTTCTAAACTCTTTAATTTTTTTAGCTTCATAAGTTTCCATAATTTAGCTTCAATTTATTATTTTCTCAATCATCTTCTCGTACGTATATTATCGTATGTAATATTATCGAGGAACGCGTTACGGTTTCAGAGAGGTTTTCATGCTTTATACATTTTTTATTTAATATTTTAATAGTTTCGACGGAATCATGAAAGAAGGCTCACCGATGTTGTTAAGCTGCTTAATGAGAACAAAACGTGGAGTTTTCCCGATGTAGTCACGGCAAATTGATAAAGCACGATCGCGGGATCTCTTCTCCATTTCCATGTACTCGACTCCATCCTCGCTGACAGATTTCGAACCGTGATTCAGTGCCGTGTAACGACCGTTCCTGTTGGAAAGATGCAAAATCCCATTTGATCATTTCTTCTCATATTTAATCTCTCTCTCCTTTTTTCCGTTCAGTCTTTTTCTGGAGGAGATAAAACGCAGGCTTCAGCGTCGTTTAAATTGACGTACGTAGCGTCATTTTAATTGATGACGATTTAAATATCCTACATATTTAGGACTCTCGAATTTGCATTCAGAATCCAGCAGTTATCAAATGGCTGTTTTAAAAAGCTTCTGATTATTAAAAGCAATAACGATAAATAATTACAAATGAATAAAAAATGCAAACTTTTTGTCGAACTTCTAAGAAGCTAGCAGAATAAAGCAGATATGTATAATAATATATTTTAAAATGTTCCTATTATTAAAGGGAGTAATAATAAACAAAAAAAAAGAAATATAGATTGCTAGATAGACTTTAAAAAATACAGCAGAATAAAATTACACGTGTATGGGATATTTTTAATCGCTTAAGAGCTTAATATCTCTCATATTTCTCATATTTTATAAAAACGTTCTCTACCTGTCATCGAAAGTTGCTGTGCAGCTTTGCCTAGACAACTCCTCTGCATTATCGTGCCTCTTGCAGTAACAAAAGCGGATTAGATTCGCGAGCCACGGATTATGATGCGGTCGCGTACCACTAACGCGCCACGTTGCTCTGTGGCTGCAAGGGGTTTCATCCAATAAAAAAAAAAAAAAGAAAGAAGACGGACCGCCACAGGGGTCGTATATATCATCGTACAAAGTCGGTCTTAACGCTCGACTTGCACTCTCATACAAAAGCACGATAATTGAATTAACGCAATCACGTCATGTGCTGAGTACCTCGGGACTCTGTTGCCGCCGTTTCGAATTATCGGAGAACAAAATATTTCGGAGGTGATATTTCGAAAATGATAAAAGATCTTTTAATCCGGGGACACTCTTCGCATTTTGCCTGACATTATTACCTGCGTGTTGCAACTCGAAAATTTCCATCTACTCGAGGACCGTCGCTCTTCGAAAGCTTCCGATGAACGTTCTGTTGCGCACTTGTCATTATTGATCGGATGTTTTTTACGAAAATTATATTATTATCGTACAAAAAAATAATTGTTATCATACACTCCTGACTAAATATAAATGCGCGAAAACGAAAAATCGGTGCTCGTGCCGAGAACTGAATGTTTGAGGCGTTTTCGATGGACTCTCGTTTATGGTTTACAAACAGAGATGCCCGAGTACGCGTAGCGTGACACGAATAATTGAAGCGGCTAATTTAATAGGATACACAATGATGTCAGCGAATAATATTAGATCTGACGGAAATGCCGTTAGTTTAATGCAAACCAGGAAAATCATTGGCTATGTAAAGCGATATTGATAATTATTTACGTGCCTGTTGAGTTCTTGTTGCAGCAACAAGTAATAGCTAATTCAGAACGGAGAGAAGTGGTATATGCTATTGCTATACGAATAATACACACATCCCAGAGGATAAACCGGCTCATCGAGAGATCATTGTATATTTCGTTTCCCGAAGGAGGGTAGTTGAGTCGGGATTTATATTTCACGTTTTGACACAATTTCCTTTCCTCACAAATATGTTTATTCCTACCAAATGTGATTAGTTGAAAGCTCAATACGAAAGGAAATAACTTTAATCGACTCTTTCATAAAAATACATATTTCTGAAATATTTGAACTTTAAATTATTAATCGTCTTTCAATTTGTAATTCTATTCTTTTAATTTTGTAACGTTTTATAATCTATAATTTTAACTCTATCATATTGCCTCTATGATTCTATAATTAGTTCCAAATTCTATATCTAAACATAGTTCCTATAATTATAGTTCCAATTCTACACATGTTTAAGTAGCTCGATCTATAATATTCCATAGCTCTCTACAATTTCATAATTTTTTCTTCGGCTTTAACTTCATAATCCCCTGTAATTTCCTTTTCTGTGGTAATTTAATAATCTTGAAACTTTTTAGAGTCCCTACATAATCGTATAATTTTATAACTCCGTAAATCTCTCTCAAATCCATAGTTCATAAATTATGGACTCCGTCTCCGTCGGTTAATTTTAACCGACCCCGAATCCGGCATGAGACGACTGAAGATGACCAAGATACGCGGCTTTTCATCCCTAAAAAAACTCACTTGACGTCTCCCTGATCCTTGTATCCCCGCGCTGCCGACACGCGGCTGAAGAGTAGCCGCGCCAGATTGTCTAGCTTGTTCGCCAGCTGATGGCCCTTGTCATCCTCGCTCTCATTCTCATCCTCCGTACTCACGCTGCGACCTCGTCGCAACGAACCCCGTGCCGTGTTCATCGCCCTGGCGTTCAGCTCGGTGGCACTCTGTGTCCTGCGATTGACGGCACGGCGGCGACGACGAGTGCTCGAGTGACCAGTACGATGCTGACAGAATCTGTCATGACCGGTCACTTCCGACTCGCGATTCCGCTGCCCATCACCGTCATCCTTCTTGTTTAGGCTCTGATAGAGATTGAACATCGTTGCACTGCGATTACCTTGGCAAATATTGCTGTTTGATCCCGCACACCTGAAATCAGTTTTATCAATCTGCCTTTTGAGTCTTATCTCTCAAAAAGTATTTTGGCGAATTATTTTGCTTTCTTTCTGAATTGATCCGCAAGATCTCGCTATTTTCATGCTTTTACGTAAAATTAATATGCGAATATTTAATGAGATTTTTATATATTTGTAACGTTTAATAATCATTGTAAAAATAATTAATGACTGAGTTCTCTTCTAGTTTCTTCAAGTGCAAGTAATTTTCATTCAAACGAAATTTAGGAGTCTAATTCGTTAATGGATGTGAGATTTGTACATGAGATTTTTAGAATGATAAAAAATGATAAACCGACCGTAATGAGAGACAAGACATGAAAATTTATTTTTATCATTGTAACGTTAAACTTGAAAATATAATATTGTATATCACATGTTATTAGAAATAAATATATTTTTCTTGTATTGTTTTATCGGAATGTTATTTCAATTATACTGTGAACAATTTTTCTATAAAAATATCAAATGTCAAATGTATAATATTGAGAATATCGCTTAATTTTTACAAATATAAAATATAAAATATTTTCAAGGGAGGTTATATAATTTAAAAAGTAATCTGTCGCAAATTATTTTTATATTCCAAATTTAAAGACATTTTCGAAATTCGTATTCGAAAGTCAAAAACACTTGAATTTTTCTCGTGCAATATTTATTCTATTATTTACAGGTATTCTTTCAAATAATAGAGAGAGAAAAGATATTATGCATTCAGCTTTCATTAAAGGATTTAGTCCTCTGCGTTAAAAGAATGGAAATAAAAGGGAGAAAAGGTTTGAACAAGGTTTTAACAAGCTTTACAAACTATTGTATTTTTCCTCTGACCTTTCTCGATCTAATTTTGCAATTGAAGCAAATTATTGCGAGTCAACGTCGCAAAAGATACATGCGAATGCATTATTAAGAGCGGAATCGTCCTGCTATTAATACTGTTCTTGAGATCGATATGAAGCGAATAAACGCTTCCACTCGAAACACCGATCATTTGTCAGCGTGCACAGGAAGTTCTCAAGATTCTCAAGTGTCTTGCGCTTGCATATCGTGAAACCTATTGGACGTGGAGAGAAAAATGTCATAAAGGAAGATAGCGCATTCTCGATAGTATTACGTGATTGAATTAGCATTATTCTTATAAAAGTCCTGCTCTTTATGATATAGTATTTCTTTTGCCTTTTGTATTTCTTTTGCATCTTTATCCTATATATTTATGAAGAAAACTGAAGGTATTATGGACATAAAAAATTGTTTTTATAGCAGAATATCGTTAATATAACGATACCAGTAAACACTCCTTTTTATCAAATTAGTAGCTATCAAGCTATCAACTATTAAATAGTTGAAGAAGTATATTGATCGCTCAAGATAATTCACGAGTGAAGTAGTACAAGTATTATTGCACCGGGCGATCGTAATTATTAGGTTCTCTCATCACTTTCTAAAATTTAATTCTGTTTTTTATTAAATCAATTAGTATAAATAATAAATAATTTTAGCAAAATTAATAATGTTGATATTAAAATCGTTAACTTTATTAATATTATTCTTTCTTTATTAATATTATTTTTTATTATTCGTTCGTTGATCTATTAATTCAATTAAATCATTATAGGTATTGAAGCAAGTTTCTTCTTAATTCTTAACTTTGTGCGCTTTCTATTGAAACGTATTAATCCAGATCGATGCAAATTAATCTGCCACTTACCGTTAATAAAATTGTTGCTGGATATTGAATTTTCTCGTGAAATTATTCGACAAAATATCACAGAGAATCTCGGTTGGTCCGCAGAATCGTTGGTCACTGAAATTTCTGCGCATACGGCGCTATCAGGAATGCTTAAAAATATAATATAAAAATATAAATATCTTTATGTATTAAATTAATTTTAAAAAAAGGAAAATGTATTTATTTTCTCCTATTTGACTATATTTAAATCAATTTAATTTTACAGAATCTTGAAATAATAACAATATGACAACATAAAAAAATAGAAATCATTTGATAACATATTAAGGAAACAATATAAATAATTTGATAAAATGTTAAGACAAATTTAAATATCATTACAAATATATGTATATTTTATAAATATACATAATCTATACTAATTATTTGCAAGAAAATAAAGCGTATTTCCGTAGTATCAGGATATTATGAGTATCCTTATTCGTGTTGCTCAGCAACGAAAGTGCGATATACACTGAGGAGTCAATAGTATATTCCACATTTTTAAGGAAAAAAATAATATAAATACATAAATCTTTCATTTTTTTTAAATATATAAATTTCTTTTTAAATATATAAATAAATTTTTGCGATTCAAAAGAAAAACAGCAGCATTATCAAAAATTTAATTAAAAAGACTTTGGGGATATATTATTTTGAATTATAATCTAATAAGCGTTTCACGTCACGTTCTTTGTAAAAGAACCCTTATTTTTTCGTTCTTGCTAAAAAATCCTTTCTGAAATCCGCTTCTTGTAAGGCGGAAAAAAATTGAATTTTTACTACTTCGATAAATAAATTGATCACCGTACCGAAGGGATTGAAATCGTGACGATCCACTGTGTCTTTTCCAAAGCAAGTATAACGTACTCGAGATAAGACTCTGAGCCTCTTCGCGGGTTATCGACCCCGCACGGGATTGTGTAGGCAGTATATGGCGCGCGAGGATTCCAAGGAACGACACGCGGGGTGCCCGCCACGGCGGAATCGCGACGCGCGACTCGAAATGAAGACGCGTGGGTGGAGACGGCGCTCGGCGGCCTCCGCCGAGCAACGGGGCTGGGTGGACACTGATGAGAGCGCGCGATCCCGGAGACGGCGGTGGGCCGCGACCGACCCGGCGCGACACAGATTCCGTTCCGCGCAACCACCCTCCCGCACCTCGCCCTTACGAGGACGTAAGGTAAATGTACGGACGGCCGCCGGATATCTGACGCGAAAAGTTTGGCAACCTGTGGACTCCCCGTTTGTGAAGACCTGTGCGAGGGATAGCTCAGAAAGCTTTTCTCTCGTCCTGAATCCGTAGAGCGGTTTATGTAAACTTGACAAAACTAACGATTCTTGTCGCAATTGATGATGAAAGGCGTTTCCGTCCGAAGCGTTGAAGTGAAAAGCTTCTGAATATAAAACAAACTTATAAGCGTTTTCTGATTATTAATTTTGACAAGCAAGAATTACTGTTAGAGTCTCGCTAGATATATAAAATAAATAATAATCGTATGAAAAAAATATTAATAAGATAATTATACGGGATAGCTAGATAGATCTGCAGTACGAATTACGTACATTTTTCTTCAAAATATTTTTAATTAAATAAACCATACAAATTAAATTGTGAGCACATGCACGAGTTCGCACGTGACTCAGGTTATTCCGTGTTTTTGCTTGAAGCAAAATTCTACGACTTTAATGCCTGCAGTTTTAAGGCTGCTTTCAGGGACAGTAAATATATCTGAGAAATCCTAAATAGTTCGATTTAAAAATATGCGTTACTCTTTTATCGTACGCGAGTTTTTCAACGGAGGAGAAAGTATAAATTATATAAACAGTCGCTTCGCATTATAAAATTATATATATATATATATA